ATAGAATCACAGAATAGTTAGAGTTGGAAAGGACCTTAAGATCATCGAGTTCCAACCCCTATATATGACAGCAAAGAGATTTTCAGACTTCTAATTTACTGTTCATTCTTAAGCAAGAAGCATAACCGACTGTATTCTTCAAGGGCAGAGCTTACTAACAAAAGCAGAGTTCCACTACATAGATATAAAACCCCATGCAGTCATCAGATTAACTAGTTAAGACTATTCTGAAGCTACATTGTATTAAGAAGTTGTTTTAGTTTTATTTTCCAACTAACTTTCAAATACAAAAAAAAGCTGGAAAAGAAGACCAAGTTTCTAGGATCACATCCCCCTGTATTTGAATACCATTCATCTGTGCAGGATGGCTAAGTTAATACAAGTTGGACTATAATATAGTGCAATCTCCCTGTTCCTTGACTGTGATGATCAACACAGAGTGTATCTTAGTATGACAGTAAGGCCATCAAAGTTAACAACACGAGATCTAATTTAGGGAAAACATTTACATTTATGTTTACATGCCAATTTAACCATCAGTAGGATGCATTTACTATATCTGGTCTTCAACTTGATTTCAACCTGATCTCAAGCAAGTTTAAATCTGCATTTTTAATAAGATGTATGTATACTGACTACATGTTATCGGGGCATATCACAGCAATCTTGAAAATAGTGAAAATGGAAAACTACCTCATGTTTTTGAGCAGACAACGCTATTTGACTGTTCATTCAGAGTAATTTTAATACAGAGAAAAGAAGCAACTTCGTATTTAAATATATTGAGAGTCTGTTTGGTTTATTTTTTGCAAGAAACAGAAGACAAAAAAAAACATGGGCTTTCAATTGCATTTGTTAGAAGCAACTACTCTTGGAGGGGCATCCCACAGTGATGAAGGAAACAAGAGTGAACTCTGAACACAGTAAGGTAAAGGAGAGCAGTTTAAACAAATGGATATATGAGAAATAGGATCAGAGAACAGCCTAGGACAAGTGGTCCAAGACAGGAAGTTCTAAGTTGCCAACTCTTCAAATTACTTTTAGAGATCTCAATCTGAAAGACAATACTCATGAGCTGAGGAAAAGCATTAAGCTTCCTGCAGCATAGAGGCATCCCAGAAAACTATTCTAAATAAAGCTATTAGAGGAGGCTTTTGTCACAAGTACTCTAAGGCTAGGTAATACTCTATTGGTTTTGCGAGTTCCTTTGTAAAAAAACTGTTTTCTTTCCAAATTTCAGTAATTCGGAAATTAAAACCCTATATCCTTCAGAGCCCATGAAAAAATTGATGAGCCTCAGAGTGTGTTTATTCATAAGACACTGTCAGTGGGATTCAAGTGTTAAGAACAGAGTAAAGAGTTTAGCCAAGCAGGTATTTTCCAATAGCAAGAAGGGAGCAGTTGGAGGAGAAACATATGGTTTCTACAAATATTAGTCACATTTATGCAATTCCAGGTGAGAACGCTGTAGGACACTGTGGGGGTACAGACCTGCAACATAGATGGTTTAGAAACAGTAGGATTCTTGGTATGGCCCAGGAATGGTTCAGAATAGCAGAAGTAAAATAACAAAAACTCTTTCTCTTGTTTAACAGTGAAATGTCCACAAAATGACTGCAAGCATTCCTACCACCACATGGGTCTCTCCTGACTGGAATAATAATAGTCATTAGTCTGGAATATGGTGGAGGAAAACTGAAGAATAGGAAATTTTAACTAGAGGAAGACAAAGGGAGAGAGAATAACACAATGGTAATTGCTTTTGATAATTTTTAATGTCATTTTGTATAGAATTGTTTTCTGAGACTAATTTGCTAAACATAACTGTGATTGTCTGAATTCTCTCTAGGAATCTCAAAGATTATTAAAATTTGATGTAATGATCAAAGTTCAAATAACATTCCAAAGCCAAGCAAGTCATTAGGGGAATTAACCTTGGTAACTATTCAGTAAAAATACTTGATTTTGAATTTGCTTAGTGGAGTCTTTGAGATCTTTGAGACTATCAAAAAAAGATTCTGCAGGTTCTTAACACTGGTGAAGGTGAAGACTTGATTTTTAAAGACAAGCTATCTCTCCGTGTCTTAAGTACTTCAAAACACATAATGTTACAAAGGTAGAAAACTTACTTCAACAAAATTGTCAGATGTTTTATCAAAATGCACAAGAAATAAAGTCAGAAAAAGAGGGAGGCGGCCTAGCATTGCTCCTCAGGTTTGCCCTTTACAGGATTGTAAACATTTGTTGCAAACAATGTTTCCATGTAATTTCATGAAGTTGCATCTAACTTGAACTATAAAACCAGCTTTTTATCTCTGTACCTGAGATAGGTATAAAGAAAGAATAAGAAAACAAACACTTGAAAAATAAAACATGAATTGATGTATCTAAACCTCCAATGTCCATAAACACTGTATAGGGACTTTATCAAAGTTTCTAAAAGTCAGATGATGACTCGCAAGAGAAAGAACCTAAATCAGGAGTAGTGTTTTATCCTGTCAACTGTTTCCAAAAAACTTCCTGTATTAAGTTGCTTACTTGTTTTCTCCAGAAATATCAGTGATTACTTCAAAGCCATTGCCTTCAAGCAAGGGCACATAGTATGTAAGCTCATTTAAATTCAGGATAACATTTACATAAAGAAAAAAAAATCCAAAAGATGGAAAAAATTCACTAATCACAGTTTTTCAATTTAAAAATAAACTGTTTCCTTCTCAGAGATCACCTTATTCTTTTACAACTTGGCATAAACTGCTCCTTTCTAGTACATTTGGGTCTCCATTTTGCAAAAGTACTTCTTAATATACTTTGATACTAGACTAATGAAGTACTGGGTTATTTATTAGTCATTCCCACATCCTACACAGAAGAGCACACAGTGAGCTTCATACTTCAAAGTGATACTAGCACATAAGTTCTCTCCTATGTGTGTTTAATTGTACAACTAGCACGTTACAACCCAGTCAGAATTCACATCCAGCTCCATTCCCCACCACCATAAACAGTACCAGTAGACCAGTGTGTGATTGTCTCAGTCAGTCAACACCATATGCTGTCCCAGCTTTTCTGAAGTCTTAATTTTTATCGAAAATATGGCAAAATTTCTACAGGGCACATACTAAAATGTCTTTCTGCTCCATAACTCCTCACAGATCTGATGCTTTGAATACACCTCATTTTCCAAATCTGTGTTGTTTAATTTGGTCAATGGACCACCAACAGTCACCAAGTACCTACAACTTTACTTAGGAGCGTTGTAGATTGAACCTGTCTTTCTATGGTTACAAAATATAGAATAGGCCTCTTAAGAAATACTGGAATTCACACCTTCTTTGATATGCTAACACTGAAAAATGAAGTATAACTGGTAATAATAGGGATTCTCTTATATGGGTTAACCTAATGATAAATACTGTACCATACAGAACTTTAAAATCCTGTTTATATTGAAGTATCTGTTTTGATGGCATCTGCATACGATATACTATGGGTTTTAGCAGTACTCTGAGCACTAAAATAACAAGGTGAACAACATTGCTGTCCCCACTTCACAATGTTTGTAGTCAAGAAAATGTTGACCTAAAATACTTATTGTTCTTTCTGCTTTCATGACTTGTAAAACATCTATTTCAAAATCGCTAGAAACAGATATTACATAAAGCAACTTGAGGCACCATCATTACTTACAGAAAAATTTTGCTACTCCCTGCCTTCTGTAACTTCACAACCTTTTAATTTTGAAAAACAAACTCTAATAAAGTAGGCCAAAAGAAAACTATGTAACCTGCCAACAGACTGAGGACCAGTATGTTGCCCACCACAAAGATTGCTTGCCTACTAGTAAAAGCATATCTGTAACGTTAACAACAGCAGATGGCTTACAACTTCTGTATGAAGTATTTCCGAACTACACAAGTTAAATGTGAGCCTTGACACTTCTATCAGCAAGAAAAAGATACATTTATCATAGCAAGAGACTTAGCTGTGTACACATTCACTAAATGCACACGAAAGCTAAAGAATTTCTTTACTCCATCTAATATAGGAACTTACTTGCCAGGCACTAAAGGGCAAGTTGCTTTTGCAATTGCAACTCTTTAGGATACATTAGAGACTTTCATGGGAGAGCAGATTTACACTAGCTCAGGTAGTTTTCTCTGTTCTGTTATTTAAAAACATCACATTTAATTTGGTAATATATTGAAATATACCCAGGCTTATTCTCAAATTCAGTATTATATTAACTTTTCTAAATGTAGCTAAATTAAAACCAGATTAAAATATTTACTGTAGGTGTAATATTACCAAGACAAACACAGCGTCAGTGGCATGCATAACATCTAACATCAGTTCAATATTATGCTCAATACAATATGTGCACTACATTTTAGGAATGCCTACAAGCCATTTAATTTAGAAAATTAGTGGACAACTCTGTGGCATTGCTTGCGTATTCCTAAATGTTTAGAATATATATGTTTTCTTAATGTTTACTGGTATCTAACTGTATTGTCATTGAAAACCAAAACTGAACCACTGTGCTGAAAAACATTGAAAGATGAAATGTTGAGTTCATACATATCAATGATACAAACAAGACTACCACAGGCTGCAAAACTATTTTGACAACTTTATGCCACTTTGATAAAATTTGTTTGTATTTTTGTAAGATAAACACCTGTGAGATATTGCCTAGTTTGGTTTTGTTTTTTTTTAGACTGTGCACATATTGTATTGCAAAACTAAAGGATCAGTAGGGGCATGCTCACAAAAGCTGCAAACAGAGACGAATATCATGCAAACTGTTCACAAAAACTCACAGATTATTAGTATTTTATCTGAAAATCAGGTAAGCCTTTCATGCCAAACATTGCTTTCATTTTAATGACAGTAACTCCCCTTGCCTTGAATGGGAATTACACCTGTGTAAATGAAAGCAAATGTAGGCCAGGAAATAAGTCTATGCATAAAAGAACTTTAGACAGAAAAAGGGCTCTAACCACTTTGTCCTCCTGGAGTTCATATCCACGAAAGCAAGAAAGAAAGGACAGAGAAAAGACAAAGAAGGAAAGAGTCACTTTCATTTTGAAAGCAGCAATAATATTTGTCAGTAAAATAAATGAACAAATATCAAAGGAATTAATATATATCTTTCTTATCACTCCTAGTGGTGAAAAAGAGCTAGTGAAAAATGTGTCATTTTAATAATTTTCTTAATCCTTTCATGGGTGAAATTGAGATGACTTTATATAGCAAAAAAAATACTTGTAGAAAAACCATCTGCACAAAAAAAAAATATTTTCATAAAAATAATTTGGGAGAATTGTCCAGATCAGCTCAATAAATCAAAAGGGGCATCTCATAAAAAGGATGCAGAATTTAGTTCTGCATGCCTTGCACCCCAGTATTGCAAATGAGTAGCATACATCCACCCTTTGCACTTGCAGAGTCCCATGAAATGCTGCATGTTTGTTTACTGCAGCCAGATACAGGCTATGTATAGTGGCATAACTGCCTGTTAGTCACTCAACTAAAATACTGGTTTTAAAGCAAGGAGACAGAGTTTGTCACAAGTGTGACATCTGACATGACATTTAGACATTAGACTAAATGTCATGTCAGAGCTATATCATTTATACTTCTTTTCATACCCATAAATATTAAATACATTCTCATAATTATTTTTCTTGAAGGAATTGTCTTTTTAGCTGTCTAAAACTGTAAATGGAATGGTTTTTGTGAATTATGTTTGTACCTTAACTTCACATGCCAATATGAAGACTAAATCTAGGTGTGCAATTAAACACTTAGCCATGTTGGAAATATGGCTGCTCACCCAAGAAAGGGTGACAACTCATTTTATAGCTTTATTGTTCAGATACCTATGTGACATGTAACTTTGTGCTCCTCTGCTCTTATAGAAGTTTTATGTTCCCCCCACAATACTAGAGGTAAAACAGGACAGAATACAGCAGAGGCCAACCAAGACACTCAAGACACTCAAGCACACAATATACAAGGAGAAGTAAGGGAGACAGGCTTTTTTTAGCCAAAGGAAGGTCAGAGTAGGGAAGGGTGCAGGAAGAGGGGAACTACTTGCATTCCTCAACTACTAGAAGGTGAACTGTAGGGAAGACAAAGACAGAATTTTCTTGAAGATGCACAACGGACCAAATGCAACAATCAAGGGATTGGACTGGATATAAGAAAAAAAAAACAAAATCACAAGTGTGGTTAAGCACTTAAAGACATTGACAAAGAGGTTACAGATTCTCCATCCTTGGAGATTTTTACAGCCCAGTTGGACAAGATCCTGAAAACCTGGTCTGACTTTGAAGTTAATCCTGCTTGGAGCAGGAGATTGCTCTAGGTAACATCCGCAGGTCTCATATGACCCATCTTATTCTATGAACCTCTGTACAGTAGTAAAAGATTAAAGTGCTTTCAAAGATGCTGAGGGGTTAAGTGGCATTCTCACTAATACAAATAGCAAATACCATTGAAAGCCATCTAAATCACAGGACTTCTAAGCGTTATCACTCTGTGTGCGGAACTAGCAGGAGTTTCTGTCCTACTGCAATAAGAGCAGCATTGGTCATAGATGTTTTAAATGGAAACATTTAGTGCTTTGATTTCTCATCCTCACTGCTGAAGAAATATACACTTCTTTGCAAAAGAAGCATAACCCATAAGAAGGTAGTTTTAGCACAAAGGCTAAGAAATTTTTAAAACTGTGAATGCCTGATGAGGTTGTTTTCTCAGTGAATGTCTCACAGCTGCAGGAAGGGTAGTAAGTAACAGCACAGAAGAGCAATTAAGTCAGAATAGTCCATCTCCCCACTTTAAAGATGCAGACAGCAATTAAAATAAAATGTTAAAACAAAAGAACTTGAGAAAATTAAATAAACTTCAAAAAGACACAGTAGGTAAAGCAGGGCATGCCAAAGATTTTAAATACATTAAGTTGAATAAAAAATTAAATGTAGCAGGTTTCACAAAAACATGGGAAACAGTGAAATTTCAAACTAGAAAATAGGAATTTCTTTAAAACCATCAATAATGAATGGAAAATACAAATATTAAGAAGAGGTCAAAATTTACAGAAAGTTTTTAAAGGGGCAAAATTTTAAGAAAACAAAGTTTGAGATGAAATGTATCTTTATATTATTTGATTTTTTGATCACATAACTTAGCTTACGGTTATGTGTGCCAGGGCTGGCTATTCTTTAGAGCAGGTTTGCCTGTTTCTAGCACAGTTCTTAATGTCTTAATAACTTAACTTCTTTTTTTCATATCCTGCAATGCACCACTATCCCTGAAATTTTAAAATGTACTATAAATAAGGCCTATAGTATTTCAAGAAGATGCTTAGAAGTTGTATTATTTCCTTGTAATTTTCACTATACAGGACCCATAGTTTTCTCATTTCATGACAATTAGGATTGTTTGTAGTGTTCTCCTCAAGGATACACACTGAAGCATGGGACAAAAGGCAACATACAACTTATAATGTGGGAAATTCAGGTTAGATATAAGGACATTTTTTGTCTGTTTTTTAATCATGAGAGTGGTCAAGCACTGGAATAGGTTGCTCAGAGTGGCTGCTGAATCTCCGTACTTGAAGATTCAAAAGTGGGCAAGGCCCTCTGGAAACTTAGCAATTCTACATTCTTTCAGCAAGAAGTTGGATGAGATATCCTGCAGAGGTCCTTTCCACCCCAATTATTCTATGGTGACTTTTCCTCACTCATGAAGAAAATATAACTTCATTACACTTTTTATATGACTTTCTCCTACATAAAATACATCTGCATGTATTTAAACACTGTTTTGCCATTCATTAGGATTTCTTTTCCAATTTTATCTCTATTCCAAAAATAATGACTAATATTATTTATCCATTGTTTTGACTACTTTTATGCTTTTCTAACATAGTATTCCAGTCTAACCAAATTGTTAGTGATCATAACATGTAGAAAATTTTACTTACTAATTATTCTAATAGTCTCTGCAAATACAGAGATGATCTGCACCTCTTCATACTATGAATTATGTTTTATTTTTTTCACTTAGTATTTATCAGCTAAGATACAAGGATTTTTTAAAACACCTATGAGGACTAAAACCATAATACATAAGAAAATATGTAAATTCACACAGGAAAAGTTAATTCAGATGACTACATAAGTAGTGTACACACAAACCAGAAATAAAGATGTCTCAGAAATAAAAAAAATAAAGAGCAGAAACAAATCTTACTACAACACTTCTGTATCTTTTAGAAATGACAGCTGAAGAGTTTTGAGACAGTTTCTCTAATAACTACTCCTATGCCATGAGGTTCTAATGTTAGGAATCATTGGCTCATAAATATTGATCTGGTAACTCTGTTCCATTCCGTAACTGTCTCATTTTGCTAAATCTTAATTTGTGTTTAGATCAAGAGTTTCCAAAAAACAAACTTAACTTTAATCACAGAAAAGATAAAATTAAATGCATCCTAACATTTTAAGGAGAACATACAATTCACGTTTCCTAAAACCTCAGGTTATATTAGTGAAAATCAAGCACCACTTAGGCAACAATTAAAATAATATATGTATATGTATTTACAAACTATATATTAAGAGAGATTTTCCTCAGAAATTAACGGCCTAATGAAGAGTCTCAAACACTTCACCACACAAGAATAAGCTTTCCGACATAAAGCAGTAACCCCCAAAATTGGCCCTTAGAAAGGGCAGTTAAAACTCAAAATCCTGCCTGTTTTGGAGTCTGTTTTGACTCCAAATACTGTTATCATAACAGTAATCAAGACTCGGTTCACACAAACTACCTATGTAGAATAACCTCCAGGATGAAGAATATCTTTTCAGAACAGGCTATGAAATATAAAGATATGTGAAGGTATGTGAAGTCCAAGGCAAGCCACCATGCTTTATTAAACACATAAGACTCCTTCCAGCTTCTCAGCTGCTTCCCCCACATTGCTGTGAAACATTCTTGGGTTCATAGCAGTACAAAGAATAGCACTAAGAACCATGGTGTACACTAGCTAAAGTGTAGCTAGTATAGTAGCTAGAAACTGATTAAGTTTCAGTATAACTTTTGAAAGAATAAAGAGGCTGTTCACCCCAAATAATAGAGAATTGATCATTGTTTCCAGATGTCATAATAATCATAGATGTTCACTATGGCCTTAACATTGTTCTCTTATAATCAGGACCAGATTTTGAATTGGAATTCTTTAATATATTTGATAATAAAACCACTATTCTATTCATGAAGAGACTAAGCTATGAAATTCATCCCAATTAGAAGAATAACTTTTACCACTGCCAGTTGTGAATTTACAACTTTTAAATTAGAGATTGTCTTTGGAATAATTCAGCAGCTGACTTTCTTTCAGAGGTACTTGTACTGAAATTCTCCAGAAAGATTAATACAATTGTTATCAGATTTTACAGGTGTTACATGGACTAAACTGAAGGAGGAAAAAAAAACAAGAATGAAAACATGCTTGGTTTAGAGAAATCCCTTCCTCAAGTTTGCAAGGTCACATGTCTTTTCCACGGAAATGCAGAATCAAACCATGTCTCCTAAGGACCAATTTATTTGTACGGGATAGGAAACCACTGACTTCATCCCAAATCCTAGCAACTTAGAAATTCTGATTGTGGCAGACTAATTCTTCAGTGCTTGCCAATTGTCAACAAAATGAAATGGATTATGCATTAGCACAAGCCTGCCAAAATTTTGTTTTCTGACTCCATTCAGATGGTCACACTGCAAGTCCTGAAGTTAGAACCATTCAACAAAAAGAACTTGATGGTTTTCTGAAAATCAGACATAGTCCCACAGAAATAAACAGAATGCAAAGCATTCACACAACCAGAGGGAGCTGAGGGAAGTTCCCTACTTATACCTTCGTAGTTCTGCATGTAGTTGCTGGGTCCTACAAGACAACTGAAAATTTCTTATTTTTTATGTTCAAAGACAGAAAGAAGGATGTTTCAGTGGCTGCAAGTGATAGCAAGTTGTCAAACACACTGAAAGGAGGTAGTCAGCATGCATCAAATCAAGTTTTCAGACAAGTATTGTTTTCTTCCTCTACAAGTGAAATGCTGGTTTACTGAACTGGCATTCTGAGCTGTTGAAATTTGTATTCAGTGCACACTGTGTTGTATCTATCTGGAAGATGTATTTTTCCAATATTTTAGCATGAAAATTTCTCAGCTGCAAAAACCTCATTCTATCTACTGCATCATTCAGTGTGCATTCCCCTATATAAATCTGAACATAATTTAAAAAAGAACAGTAGCATATTTTGTATATCTGTGGCACCTATATTACTAAGAGCAACTACTACTTGCTGTCATGTTATTTATTTATTATTTCAGTTTTAACCCATCTGAAATTGTTCATAAACTTAAAAGAAGAAAGTTCAAGGTCCCTTAGTCCCATGAAATTCAAGCCTCCATCCTGACTGAATACTCCATTTACTAAGATAATAAGCAGTACAGAAGCAGCATTACCACCATTATCAGTTTTATTCCTTTGATCTTGAAGGAACTCCTACATAATGATAACTTTTGTGCAACCTGAACTGAATTTTAATGCCTGTATATCAGGCACTGTAACTAAACTGAAAAAAACTAATAAATCATCTAGTCATTCTGAGAATCTAATCTAATGCTCTGACAACAATCGAACACTTTCATGCTTTGCTCCTACTCACGACCATGAACTCTGTAAGCAGTAGTCCTCTTTCTTTGTGACCTTTGAAAGAGTTCTTTGAAATTCTACATCATCTGAGATGCATGCCGCTAATGTAGCTCTGTGCTAAACTATTTAGTAGCAGAATCTGGTATAAATGGCATGAACGTGGCTTGAAATTTGATATTATGAAAAAGTTCACAAACAGATCAAACAGCTCTATGAAAGAACATTGCAGACGGTTAAAGAATCACCTTATATAAGGCCCAAAGCAGACATATATAACCTGTCAAAAAACGTCCACAAAGAACAAAGAAAATCTAGTAAAGTTAAAACAGGAAGCTATTAGAAGTTATCCTTCAAGAAACTGAAGCTATACCCATTAAGGAAAACGGAAGGGAATGAATTCTGATGAATTCTGGTAGAGCATAAATTATTTTCATGAAATAATGTGTACAGGCATAAAAGAGATAATAAATAAGAGACTGCCAGTCTGTTGGAATTCAATGTTTTGTATTCATGTGCAAAATGGTTAGAGAGATACTTACTCTAGAATACTATTTTATGCAGAATGAACCAGAGGATATAGTTAAAACTGATACTTCAGAAAGAAAGCTGTAAAGTGAGTCAAAAAAAGAAAAAAAAAAAAGAAAAAAAAAGTAAATTTTTAATATCAGGTGATATTCAGTGTAAAAGATCTCAAGTCTAAAACATCTATTAACTGTAATACAGTCTCTCACTGACAAGAAAAACAAAAGGTGGTAAATATGATTCCAATTTATTTCTTTTTTAGGAATTTCACTGTTAGATCAGCTGAATAATTACTGAGTCTGACTTCCACATTGGTCAGACTTTTAAAAACCAAAATAGAGAATAAAATTAGCAAGCATATGAATAAATTATGATTCAATTTGGAAAAGTGAGAATGGCTTTAATGAAGGGAATTAATCTCTGTTACATGTATTATAATTCCTTCAAGGATTCACAAAGAACGTGAATAAATGAGATTTATTCATACTGATGAGTTAGGCTTCCAGTCTTTTAAAGTATCTCATCTGCCATGGAATAAGAATGAATTCATCCATGAGAAAACAAGCAATGAAAAGATAAGAAGAAATGAATAAATGGTCAGGGTTTTTTAAGGGAGAAGTATCACCAGTGAAGCCTCACACGGGATCTGCCTAGAGATGCTCAGTCCAGCATATTCATAAATTATCTACAACAGAAATAAATGAGAGATAGAAAAGTTTATTTATCATACTAAAGTATCAGCAGTTGTAGAAAAAACACCAGCTGAGAAGAGCTGCAGAACAGATTCATAATACTGAATGGAGAAGTCGGCTTACAGAAAGACGGATTTAGGTTAGACAGTAAGAAAAACTTTCTATGATGAGGATGGTGAGGCAGTGGAACAAATAACATAAGAAGGTGTGGAAGAATCTCATTGGAAATCTGTCAAGAGAAGTCAGACAAATATCTGCCAAGTTCACATGATCCGTCCTGAGGACAGTCTGAATTATGTATCGGAAAGTTTCCTTAGAAAATGAAGCCTTCCTTCTAATGTAATTTTTCTATGGTTTTAAGTATGTAGACATAATGACTTAAATCTATCCTGACTCTCTTTTATAAGCAGATGAAACTAAGACAGAAATTGAAATTATTATATCTCTTACTACTGGCAATATGTGAGCTTACTGACATTTTAAAATTACCTTAAAAAATCCATTTTGAGAGATTTAAACATAATCTAAGTTACTTTAATCAAAAGGAAACAGCAGATCATTTTATACTTTGTCAATAAAAACCTTTAGTCCTTTATTTAAACCTACCTTTCTGTTTTGGACAAAGAAATACATAGCATTTATACTATTGTCTCCTACCTTTCAAAAGATTAAGATAAAATTTGCAGATTGCAATGAACATATTATGCAAAAAAAAAAAGAATTATAGAAATAAATTGTACTGGAAAATTATTATATTAATAATTATTCAATTATTACATTACTGGATTGTTTTACAAAAGATGTGTGTCCACAGAAGACTAGCATAAGATACCTCAAGAATTGTCATGGATATTCTATAAGTATATATCAGAATCTGAAAAAGATACTGTATAAAATATGAATATTTTCTCTAAAATGTTGAATAAACTGATCTCAGTTTATGGCGTTTATGTTTTCTGACGTTACCTCAGTTTTGCTGAATTTTTTTAGTCTATGATCCAGCATTTAAAAATTTGGATTGCTGTTTAGATAAAAAAAAATCAGATTACTTGTTGTTACACAATAAACATCAGTACACTAGCTGTTGTTCTATATTATTAGTGCATTTAATTTTTTCCAGAAATATTTTTACATTTGTAAGCATATTTATATTTGCCATATAAAGGACACAGAACTGTTGCAGCAAGTCCAGAAGAGGCCACAAAGACGATCAGAGGGCCGGAGCACCTCTGCTATGAAGACAGGCTGAGAGAGCTGGGCTTGCTCAGGCTGGAGAAGAGAAGGCTCTGGGGAGACCTTAGAGCGGCCTTCCAGTACCTAAAGGGGCCTACAAGAAATCTGAAGAGGGATCAGTTACAAAGGCATGTAGTGATAGGACAAGGAGGAACAGTATTAAAGTGAAAGAGGGTAGATTTAGGTTAGACATTCTTTAGAAATGCTTTACTGTGAGGCTGGTGAGACACGGGAATGGGTTTCCTGGAGAAGTTGCAGCTACCCCATCCCTGGAAGCTGGGGTGTGCCAGGATGGGTGGGGCTTTGAGTAACCTGATCAAGTGGAAGGTGTCCCTGCCCAAGATCTCTTCCAACCCAAACCATTCTAAGAATCTGTGATATACATAATATATGTGCATATGTATAACAGAAAGAATTAAAAGCTCCATAATAGATTGTATAGATTCTGTTAAGACTAATTTTAAAATAATCTTGTACAGAAGAGCCTGAGCAAGCAGAAAAGAAACATATCTTTGCTCTAACTTGTAATAGTTGGCATCTCAATACTAGCATCAGTAGATCACTAGATATACCTCCCTGTCTCCAATACAGAAATTCAATCCTCTAATCCAAGCATTCTGCTTTCATGAGTATGTTAGTAGAAATGGCATGCATTAACTTAAAAGCCATAGTCACAAATCCACCTGCAAATAGCAATTATTTGAAATTAGGACAGATGTCTTACAAGGCACTAAAGTATATATCATTACCACCTTAAAGGAAATCCATTTCAGTAGCTATATGATTTGGATGCATAAGCAATGAATGAGATACAGAGTAGAGAAGTTTGTTACTAAACTTTCATAACTCCATACCTTATTTGACCGTAAAGACACTCTTCCTCCACAGCGTGCACAGAATTTAGTTTGGCAATATGAACAGTTATGGCCACAGCCATCAGCAAATTTTGTTTTGTGGCAGATGCCACAGGTTGGGGCATCACCCTTCTGCTCCTGCTGCTGCTGAGATTCTTCACCCATCTTCTTCACTTGCTCCTTATACATTTCAAACTGCTGATGCAATTTTCTGCAGAAGAGAAGAGATCATTAACAGTTGTTTTATTTAAGCCCACAAACACTTTGTAATCCTTAATCTGCAATCAATTTCAAAATACAAATCATAGAGAAATACTGCAGTAAGGCAAATAAACTTAATTTATGATGCTCCAGAAGTGTAACATTCAAGAATAAAAAAGAATTAAAAAAATATTTTTTCATTACAAATAAACTCTAGGAGAAGGCACAATACTGATAATACACAGCACACAGTCTAGCTGTTACAACAAGAAGTAACTCTGGTTTAGGATGTGGCCAGCTGTTAGCTGCAAACACCACAGTAGGAAACACGGGCTGAGTGATCCAAGAGCCCATGGCACTAGACTTTAAACTGGTTAATAGCAGGGGAAAAAAAAGAAATCTCATTTATTCTCCCAAGTGTACTTCTACCTAATTCTACCAGACAGATGCAAATATCTGCTGTTGATACAGCTTATCTTCTTTCATCCAACAATATTGCACAGAGTAATAATTCTAAAATGCTTTTTCAATCACTTTCCAAGCACTGGGTGCAAGCCTATAACAAGTTACCTCAGTTTAACAAGTTATAAATCATTTAAGCCATTCATATTATTATATAGGTACTAGCATCTCATGCTAAATACAAGGTAGAAAACTACCTTAGGGGTAAAATTCAGCGATGGTAGTTTAAGACAGACACACGTTTTACATTCCATTTCCAGAGGACTAGGAGCACAGACATAGTCAGCTGCCATGCGCATACAGAACTGCAACAATTATTTCAGGCATGCTACTTCATTCACATTTCTGAGGCTGCAATAATCAACTTTCCATATAGGACAGTTAAAACTGTTTCAATATGACCAAAGTTAAAGACTCATTTCATGTTCCATAATACAAATTTCTTCTCAAAGCTCCTATTTCTGAAGGTAAATGATGTCATGGGAAATCTAATTTTCATTGTAAGAAGTTACAATCTTTTAGCTCCCATAGCTGCTGAAAAAAGATGGAAAATGTGACGTAGCATATGATAACGAGAGATACAAATACAAAGAGAAAACTAAAAGAATTTTGACTTCTGGTTTTATCCTTGTGATTTAAGGGGGGCTAAACAGTGACCTTTACATTCTTAGCATGGAATTCAACTCACCTAATTTTGCTAATAGAGACTGTAAAATTTAACAAGATAAAATTTATTAATCCAATATGAGCAGGTTTTGTAGCCCCTTAAACAGACACAAGCAAAACCCCACAAATGAGGAATTTTCTATGAAACATTAAAATGTTACACTAAGCCAAAAAAAAAAAAAAAAGAAATTGCAAGAATTATTTTTCTTTATAGTTATCCTTCCAGAGATTCTTGAGATGATGTTATTAACACATGAAGCCTAGGACTGGGAGACCAATTTCATTAATGCAGAAATATATACTTTCTATAGTTAAGAGATAATGTAATCATACAAAGTTATTTCCTCAGAAGTGTCAGAGGCTCTTACCAAAACAAATACACTAAGTCAGTTAAAAATTATCTCAAACAAGTATTTACCATGGTGTTGTGGTTTAAACCCAGTCAGCCATAAATCATGCAGTCGCTCTCTCACTCCCCGCCTTCTTGCCCTCCCCCTGCTCCCGGAAGAATGGGGAGGAGAATCAAAAGAATGCAACTCTCATGGGTTGAGATAAGAACAGTTTAGTAACTAAGGTATAACACAAACCACTGCTGCTGCCACCAATAATAACAATGATAAAGGAAATAACAAGGGAAGAGAATATATCACCTCACCACCAGCCAACCGATAACTCACCCCACCCTGACCAAGCACTGACCAATACCTCCTCCCACCCTGCAGTGCCTTAGCCCTTCCAAGTAACTCTGTTACATCCTGGGCATAACGTGCTGTGGTATGGAATACTTTTTTGGTCAGTTTGGGTCAGGTGTCCTATCTCTGCTTCCTCCCGGCTTCCCCTCCTCCTTGGCAGAGCATGAGGCTCACAAAGTCCTTGGTCAGTCTAAACATCTGAGCAGTAACTAAAAACATTGGTGCTATCAGCACTGCTCCCAGGCCGAAAGTCAAAAACACAGCACTGCACCAGCTACTAAGGAGAAAAAATGACTGCAACTGCTGAACCCAGGACACATGGATATTCACATATGGATATAACTGCTGGGATTTGCTCTGTTTGTTTTTTTTTTTTTCAGGACAACTCCCCTAATAATGAATGACCTTTACATTATACCACGGAGAAGTTGTAGGAACAAACAGGCAGCTCCTTCTCTCCATCAGGCAAGCTAGGAGGCTGGAGGCGTGCCTCTTCTTCTATGTACCAAAATGATGCCTCAAGCTCTCAGCTGCCACTGACCTTCTACAGAAAGAGGGAAACCAGGGTTACTTCATGTTGCTTATGTGCCATTTTTCTGCTCTACCTGCTCTTGTCACTTGAGCTCAACCCTGAATCCACACACTGTCCTCAGGACATAGCAGTTGTTTTTCTCGTGCTTCCAGCCCTTCTCCCCCACATGCATAAACCTTTTGGCCTGAAGCAGAGCAGTGCGAGGGGTCATGTCTCTGGCCCTCCACAGGAAGGTCACAAGGGTTGTCATTGACTCAAATGGCATTTGTGGAGCCACGGGTAATTGAGGTCTTCTACCTTTTCACTGGTTCAAAAAGAGTTCACTGTTGACTGTTCTTGGTAGAATGGGGCAGGACCCAAGTTACTAACAAGAAAGAGCTGAATGAAATTGAGAACAAAATTCGGAAATCTGGAAGCCTGGCACATTTCAATGTTTTACACTGACAACAGTATATAATTGGTAGTTGCTACTCTGGCCCACTTCCAACAGTAACACATATAATCTCTGAGACCTTGCTTGCCTTTTAATTTTGCCAAACATTGCGTTCTTCATTTAAAGCATATTATCTATGCTGAACTTCAAGTTTATTTTAGGTTTCATTCAGTTTTGTGGCTTCCTTATAATCTACTGCCTTTGTTAGTATGATTGCTTACCAGTCTCACTGATGCATAAAAAGGAAGCCTTTTGCCAATTCTTAAGCCTCATGTACTGAAATAATTTCACTTTTATTTCCTCTTGGGAACAAGAATCTATGTAAAGGTCACAACTTTTGCCTCAAACTATAAACTTTTCAAGGTTATACAGGGTAGTTTTCTAAAATCCTTGCTCTACAAGCAAGCGACTTATCACCTGCCAAAACAGTTTGTTATTACCTTTTTCTGTTCCAAGAAAAATATTACACGTATTGACAGCTGTCAGAAAAAATTAAACACAGAAGACAAAAATCTATTAAATAATCAGTTACACACAATGTATGTTCTACTTGGTAAGCAGAACAATTTGAATATGCATACTTGAAACAAAATAGAAAGTATTCATTTTAGCAAGTCCATTAAAAAAAAATCTGATCTATTCTACAGATTAATCATCATATTTTTTTGTCATCTAGCCTGCAAGGGTTTAAGCCAAAAACTAAACTAACAGCATGCAGTGATAATGAGGCATTTAGAATAGCACAGTATTTGAAATAAATTTAGTAAAAATTGTATAACATATTCTTCAGAAAACGCAATGCAAATAAAACTCCATTTTGTTCAAGTTGTCTGCACTCAGAACATTGCTGCCTAAGAGGGCTCAGGAATACAGTTACCAGGGAACTAAAAGTACTCAAAGCAAACTTCAGAGCGTGGAACTGAACTTGGGTATCTCAAGACTACAATTTCTAGCTCTTATCCTCCAGTGAGTTACTCTTTTAACACAAGTGGCCAAGATCTGTGCTGTGAGACTGAAAAAACAGGCTCTGCAGATGAGCTGCATTTTAGGCCAAAATGCTTATCCATAATACAAATCTTATCCTTAGGCATGAAAGGGTTTTCATGATGAAAATACCAGATAATTACATCAAACTATGTAACAGAACATTTACGTAGAAACCTCAACAATTCATATCTTAACCCTTATATATGTGTATTTTGACAATGGCCGCAATAGCACATGCCCTCTGTACTGATGCAAAGTCTCCTTTTCCACGTTGTTTCCAAAAATACAAGTATCCACTTTAATACCTGCTATAAATTTTAGAGGAAAAGGAGAAGTTGGTATGAGTTTATGCAAAAACCTAATAACAAAAATCAAGCTGGAAAACTGATATTTAAGTTCTGCTCATTTTCATCTCTTGTGAGAATGAGATCCCTAAATCACATTCATACCTGCTGGAAGTTACAGTGGTGAAGTACATGAGGCTTATATGATTAGTCAAGACTTTTCTTGTACTGTAAAACACTATATCCAAAACAGCTACATAGAAGACTTTACAGTGCGAAAAGCAACCGTTTGAAAGAGCTTGGATTGCTCTGTCAAGGTCAAGAAACAGTTTCTATTGGAATACTTGCTTTGTTCTGGAATGGAATTAATTTAAGTCTGCTTATTTGTGGTTCCACACAACTTCCTGGAAATGAGAAATTCAACATCAATCAAAAAGCAGCAATCTGTGAGCATCTCATGAGCTGCTGCCAAAGGCAAGTAAGAAAAGCAAGTTCAATAGCATGAGGTTTCTCACTAGAGCAGAAATTTTCATTTTCTCCTGTCCTCCAGAAACGCCCACAAAACTTTCACCATTTTACACAGACACACCAAAAAATCCTTAATACTGGCAGGAAGTTCCAAAGCCATTCTTGACTTCCAAAAATTCTCTTAAACATTTCAGAAATTTCCAAAGGTGCTTAAAACCTGCCACTAGAAGGGGACTGCTAAGCAAGTATCCAGGATGCTGTGGCCAGATATAAGCGTAGCAGCTACTTCTTATTTCCTGGCTACATTCCTCTCAAAGTTTTATTACTGACTGTAGCTCATGCCTCTTCCTATTCCCAGGTGGGGAGCACGGATGTGGCTGGAATTCAGGCTTCAAACAGGGTTTGTTCACTTTAAGTTCTGCCAAGGCTGCTCGTTCAATGATTTTTCTGTCTAGTGGCAGTGACTATCTGGTAACATACAATGTT